GCTTCAGGGCTAGTGATGTTTCAAGTGGTAAGATTATGAGCTTTAATAAGTAAAATTATCACAGCTACAATGACAGACAACAAATATTACATTTATAGCGTTACAACTAAAACTGTTTTTGACGCCGCCACCGCAGTTTGTCCTTCATGAGCCTTCGTAGACAAGATGGCGGCTGCCTGTAGTGGCGACCCGCGACCATGGAGATATAAACAGCTTTTTATAAGATAAATTAATAAAACAAAGTCTTTGTCTGCAATGATTAGACATGTTTTTTATTATTGTCATTAGTGATTATCTCAATTTCGGCTAAAAGACTTGACAAAATCCTACACACTGTGCCTTTAAGGCTAATTAAGGCCTTATTTTTGGATTAATGAATTCAATGCCTTTTAAGGATCTGTGGGAACACCTGGATGACGCCTTGAGATCATGAGTTTTTTCTCTTTACACACTGTAAATTGTAATGCAAACTTCCATAAACATGGGTCGTTATATTATATTACCTTGAACTGGTCTCCAACATTGTCGTTTATCGCATTAATTTCTGAGACAACTTATCGTCCAGTAACATCTGTTATTGTGACAGGCCTATCTTAAACAGAAACATCTCACTAACCCCAACATCCTCTTCATCGACTCTCGCCCTCTTCTTCTTCTTCTTCTTCTTCTTCACCGACGCTGAAAGAAAAGACTTGATTATAAAATAAACCTGGATCATGTTTCCATCATGAGATGAGTTTTTAATCATCCTAAACTAACTTATTTGATCAGTTAAGATACGATTAAAACAGTCAACTGGATCAGGATTATTAAGTGTTTAACGTGGGGGGGGGGGGGGGCGGCAGCCCAAAAGTTGGTTTTCATCTGTAGTCTTCACGATGTTTAAACGGCAATACAAAAACTACAATAAATATACAACACTGCACGGTAAATACATGGTTTTAGTGTATTTGATGCATTGTTTTTCCGACGCTGTACTTATAAACTTTAAAGAAATCACTGCAGAGATGTTGGATTAAAGTTTCATACAACCATCTTGTAGGGATGTTGACCAGATTGTACCAGGCTGCTCTGTGTGTTTGTTTATTTCCTGCTGCTTCATTATTTCTATGAATTTCAACAAAGAGTGCTGACGTCAGGTAGTTAGCTACAGCCTCGTCTTCCAGTTTGTAGTTTTTGTTGATGAGTTTTGAAGAGACTATTATTTTGAAAATAGGATCAAAGTAAATCATGAGTTTTTCTAGTGACCCTTAAAGAGATAAACTACTACATTATTTTAGCTGCACTTGTTCCGCATTGGATGATTTGAAACGTCGAAGTATGTTTTTTAAATCTGGAATAGCGCTCGTTAGCAAAGTGTGTTGACGCTCGTCTTCATCACCTGACACATTTAACCCGCTGTCATTGGTTGAGCAGCTGTGTTTACTAAACACATGTCCACACGGTTTTTAAATTGTTTTAATTTCCTTACTTTCTAAGACACATTAAGTTGATTCGATGCTGCAGTTTGTCTTGTAATATTATTTTATACATTTTCTGCTTCTTTTGCATTGGTTATTATTAAGTTTTATCAGGATACAAGATGCTTCCCACAAAAACCAGAATGTGAATCTTTTCCTAAAATTTCATGGTAATATCATGAACACTGAGGAAGTTATGATCAAAAATAAATCAGAAAAAGGTGAAATGATCCCACTGGTTCTGTGTGAACTGCAGCAAGAAAACAAACTGATTTCACCTGAACAATCAATAACTTCCCTCATATTTGATTTAATCACAATTTTAATATTGTTTTGTTTGGTTTGACATGTTTTTTAGGAATCCACTGTCAGATTTTATATTGATGTAGGACAAAAAATTTATCTTGAAATAACAGTTGATGAAATGTTAACTTTCCACATTATTTGTCCTAAATGTCACATTTAAAATACATTGTTTTTAATTATCTAGAACCACACCTTGTGGCTCATTTAAAATACATTCAAGTTGTTTGTATAAAGTCAAGTTAAGGTTAAATTACCATGAAGCTGTATTTTACTTATTTTAGGGGAGGAAACTCCTCTAGTTTAAAAGAAAACCCCACGTGGTGGACTTCCGCCACGCTGTCCCATGCCTCGTGCACAACTCCAAAAATGCTACAGCTACTAGCCTCGCTAGCTAACCCCTCCCTAGCTGCGCACGTGGCCTGGGCCTGTAGCACGAGGTTCTCTGCACTCTGCTGCACTGAAGCTAACAGCTCGTTTTAATGTCTTTAAACTTTAAAATGTTTCAACTAAAACAGGATTCAGAAACTGCTAAACATAACTTTTTACACAAACCTCCAAATAAAAAAATAATCATTAAATCCAACCGTAAGTTAATGACTGAACGTATTAAATCAGATATTTGACATAATCCATGAGGCTTTTTAAAGCTAAAGTTGAACATTTATTGAGGTAAACTTAGTGTTTTTATTTTCTTCTTCTAAAAAAGAAGTATATTTTTCTACACACTGGCTGTACGACTCTGGCGCGCAAGTTTTATGTCATGATTTTAAACAGCAATTAAGTTGAAACACTTCAGTGAGTTTTTATCTTTTAAATTTAGTAAGAAACTCAGCATGGCCAGCACAAACCGTGCAGAACTCACCAGATCCGTCTGCCATCTTCTGTGAAATGAACGAGCTTCTTTCTTCTTCTTCTGTTCTTTTTTTCTTCTTCTTCTTCTTCTTCTTCCGTTTCCTCCCAGGCGGGTTGTAATCCCGCCATTTACCGCCACCTTCCGGCCTGAGCTCAAATTACACAAAGTTTACATTTAAATGCAAAGCAGCTGAACTCAGATGAAATATCTCCTGAAGCAAAGTGTTCAAGACAATTTAAACACTTAATAAAATTAACAAAAAAATATGTCCTGCCCAAAAACTGAGAGACACAGGAAGCAGGAAATGAGTCTCCAGGCAGCCATGTTGGAAGGAGCTTCAACATGAGTCTGGAGGTTTTTTTACATTTATATATTTACAATTATAACTTTCATTATTAGCTGAATTATGGGTTAGGGTTGTTTTCATCGGGCTGTTAGTGTTTATTATATATACATATATATATAT